TTAATAGAAGCAGAGAGTAGGATGGTCTGAACCTGATTATTGTGCATCCATCTCTCCAACAAGAAAGTTGATCCTTAAGCCAGAAAATTCAGAGCAAATGAGTTAAAGATGGGGCAAACAGATTGTAACAATCATTTACTGGGTGCTTACTACAAAAAGTGCTCACAGACATGCCATTTAGCCCTCAATAGCTATCAGGATCCCTAGCTCAGAGATAAACTTAGATGACTTGCCAAGGCCAGACAGCTAGAAAAGGCTAATGAAGGAAACCAGATTTCTTTAACCTGACTTCTGTGGTACTGTGTTTCATACTGTCTAGTGCTGCTGTAAATGAGCTTAAGATTTCAGGACCTGACAAATTACCTGCCAGAGTGCTAAAGCAACTTGCAAGCATGATGTGAGAACCACAGACAGTAATCTGAGAAATCAAGGAAAGAGGGCAAGCTGCCTGAGGTTACAGACAGGCAGTACTTTTCAATCTCTTGATATTTACTGGTTTTTCCCAGCTCAGTGAAACTGCATATATAGAATATGCACATCTGTGTACTATGTGTATCTTCAGTGTATAAATCTTTCATTTTTCCAGGGCAATAACTATAGAAGATCTAGGATTCCTTGTAACTAAAAATGTTGATTTAAATTGCTCCAGGAACTTTATAATGCACTGGTTGGGAGGGCAGCATTACACAAAGTCACTGGCATTAGCTCATCCTTAAAAGGCCTTTTTGGTCCATATGAATTTTCAAAAATTTTTTTTAAATTAGCAGATTACAAAATACAGTACCCAAATGATGGGGTCCTACTTCCTCTGATCATAATTTTACATACAAATGACACATAGTTGATGATGGTTTTTATACTTCTTAAATGCTGAAAAAAAAGTGAATAAACTGAAAACAAACAGCAGTTTGGGATTTGGGGATCTAACGGAGGGCAAGTGGCTGGCATTGATGCAGAAGTAGCTGAGGGAGTTGGCACTCCCATTTTGCCCACCTCCTGGAAGTAGTAGGTATCTTTTAAGTACATTTATGGGCATCTTTGGGAGTTATATGATATATTCTAGAACTTCAAAATGTAGACGATATTGTCACCATGACCAAAATTGAAATAAAAAGGAGCTAAATCTCTGTGTGTGTGTTAACGATTTAAGGTTAAGAACGTCTTGGAAGACATTTTGGAGAAACTTCCAGAAGAATTCAACATGGCAGAGATAATGCAAAAAAACTCAAATAGAAGCCCCTACATTCTTGTTTGCTTCCAAGAATGTGAGAGGATGAATATTCTCATTCGGGAAATCCGCGTATCACTTCAACAGTTAGACCTTGGTTTGAAGGTAAGTTTAAAATGGGACTGGAGCAGGCTTCCCCACACTGGATGATATTCACTGTGTGGCCTTTTTTCCCCATGCAAGGGGGAGTTGACGTTATCTCCTGATGTGGAAGCCCAGCAGTCCGCGTTGAGTTATAACACGGTACCAGACGCTTGGAGCAAACTGGCTTATGCATCTACTTACAGCCTAGCCCAGTGGTAAGCTGCTCTCTGATGGCTGCCACTGGCCCCCATCAGCTTCGGTGCTGGGTTAGTGTTCTGAATTATGCCTCCTAAGAGCTGTGAAGATTGTGCTTTGTGACTGTACCTGGCCTGTAACTGTGCAAACTCTACCACCAGTTTTATCTGTGCAGACTCTACCACCAATTTTATTCCTTGGTCTATTCAAAGACAAAATTCTGTTAAAAGTCAGTGTTAGAGCAAGATTCAAATTCTGCCTCTTACTTATTATTTGATCTTGGACAAAATATCTAATATCTTGCTGTCTCAATTTTTCATCTGAAAAATGCAGATAATAATAGAATTCCCTCAAATTATTAGAAGATTTATTTATTTATTTAGATGCACAAATCAGGATAATTAGTATATTCAACATTGCACAATGTAATCATTTTTTGTGGTGGCCCGTTACCAGTTTCCCACTAACCACCCTCCCCTTCCCCCTTTCTCACCTCTGATAGCCTCAGTTCTGTCCTCTCCTTTTGAAAGTTCAACGAAGTACTGTGATTGCTCTTTCTTTTCTCTGTTCATGGCCACAGAACCAGTAATTACTAATGCCATGTCACAGACAACTTTTTAAAGTTCGCGATATGGTATGCAGTAAACTAGACTGCCTTCAACATGTGGGTGTGACTGCAGAGATAATCACAAAGCAGAAATTCACAGATCACTGAAGGCCAGCATCATCTCCAACTGCTCTTGGCCTTGGTGAACAATTCAGGAAGTTTCACAATTCTCTTTATCACTGGATTTTTGGTGCTGAGGTTCTCCATCCTTGCTTCCCTAAATCATTCCTCCAGGAACCAGATCACTACCCTGGGCCTTAAACTGGAAGGTCCCATTAGAATCCCAAATGACCGCACATTGGTCCCCAGGCTCTCAAGTGCTGGCTGTGTAGGGTGGGTAGACACAGGGGCAGGAGGCACAATGTGTGCATGCCACAGGGGGCAGCAAATCACCACAACAGGGAAGGATTTCTTTTTCTTTTTTTTTTTTTTGTCCTTTTTGAAACCGGCCGCAGCGCGCTCAGCCAGTGAGCGCACCGGTCATCCCTATATAGGATTCGAACCCGCGGTGAGAGCGCTGCTGCACTCCCAGTGCTGCACCCTCCCAAGTGCGCCACGGGCTCGGCCCCAGGGAAGGATTTCTAATGCTGTAAATATCCCAAGTTGGGTATCTAGAGATGCAGGATTTATATTTACAGTTACGTTTCATGATTAGTAACTCTGGACTTATTTCCACCATCTTTTGTGCTTTNGGTTTTTTTTTTTTTTTTTTTTTTTGTCCTTTTTGAAACCGGCCGCAGCGCGCGCAGCCAGTGAGCACTGTGAGCGCACCGGTCATCCCTATATAGGATTCAAACCCGTGGTGGGAGCGCTGCTGCACTCCCAGTGCTGCACCCTCCCAAGTGTGCCACGGGCTCGGCCCCAGGGAAGGATTTCTAATGCTGTAAATATCCCAAGTTGGGTATCTAGAGATGCAGGATTTATATTTACAGTTACGTTTCATGATTAGTAACTCTGGACTTATTTCCACCATCTTTTGTGCTTTCTAATTTCTGTATTTTTCTTAGTTTCATTTTTTTAAACAACCTTTTCTGATTTCTATCAGTTTAATGGTTTTCTTTATTCCATGTTTATCCCTGTACCATTCTTATTATTTTAGTTTTAGCACACTCTTGATTTTTCTAACAGTGTAAAGACAGCATTTTTTTTCTTTAGACCTTTCAACCACCTTCTGAACATCAACCTCCTTCAGGTCTGGAATTGTAGTTCAATCTTATTTTAAACCATGGTATTTTTGTTCAGTTTTGTTTGTAGCCAATAATTATCTTTGCATTAACAATAAACTCTATCAATTTCTTTGCTCATCCTTGCTTTTTGCATCTTGTCCTGGGCTCCCTTTTCTTTTTACCAAGTAAAAAATGTATACTAAGGCTTTGAGGGCAGGGGATGGTAAATCATATTCTACGTCTTAACTGTCTTCACTGTGCTCTCTTGACTGATAGTTTACTTATATGTAGAATTCCAGGACACAATGATTATTTCCCTTCTGGACTTTGGTGTTCTAACTCCACTATTTTCTAGAATAGATTGTGGATACCTTCACAATTAACATTTTTAAGATTTCTCTCTTTACACTTGATGTTCTACAATTTAACTACTGTATTTATGTTTGGATTTTTAAAATGTATCCCACTTGGTACTGTGTGCTGCTTTAAATGTTCATCCATCCATAGTTTCCATTCTGAAAAATTCTTAGCCCTTATTTCTCCAAATATGGCCTTTCCCTCATTCTCTTCATTATCTGTATTTATCTACCTGACTTCTTATATTTTCAATCTGTCTCTCTCTGCTGTATTCTGGTTGATTTAATCGGTTCTGGGTGATCTTCAACTGCCTCCAGTCTGGGTTTTTTTTGTTTTTTGCTTGATTTTTAAAATTTTATCATTCATAATTTTCTGTTCCAAGTTGTTTATATTTTTGGAGGGGAGAGGGGTGTCTGACCTAGTTTAGTAATTTCCTGTTTTTGCTTTTATGACCATTCTCTTTTTTTTTTCTCCTTTTTGTCTTTTTTTCGTGTCCGGCAATGGATCGCAACCTTCAGTGTTGCGCCCGTACTGGACCGGGACCGGCAACGAGATCGCAACCCTCGGTGTTGCACCCACACCTCGCTCAGCCAG